ACACTTCTGAAGTTTATTCGAGGTCGATCCTCGAGGAACAGTGCCTGCTACTGTATGTATGGGCACAAATTCACATTCTCTAGTCTCATTGAATGGGCAAGGAACAGGAATTTGAATTTTTATTTGTATTGCCTCGCCCACAAGTCATTGTGCCTCCAGCTCTTTTGATGTTGCGTTTGTTTTGCCCATTTCCAAGAGAATTTATCGAATGAGTGTCATAAATTCATGCGTTCCCACTCAGTCTTCATCAATCTCCAGATTCAGATCTGCCAGACCTTGCTTGTCGGTCCTACACCCGTGCCTTGTCGCCGAAAACCTACAGAGGCTCCTTCGGAAGGCAGGAATATCCCTCTAAACTCAAGGTGGCTGTTGACCGCGAGCAGTTTCTACCATCTACTGGTTTTGTTCAGGGGGAGAATGACGTCGCAACTGAGAAAAGACCGAGGACAAACGACGGAGGCTGAGAGACAAACACCAGGAGACGCGAAAAGGATACACAGTAAGGGGACACACAGAGAGCACAGGAGATAGGAGGACAGAGGAGACACACAGCAAAGAGTAACAAAGGAAAATAATTTTTTCGAGAAAAGGAGAATGTGTGTTTTCAGAGAAAGCCAGGCATGGTTGTAAGAAAGAGGCACCTCAGTACAGATTGTGCTGGAACAACGATTACTGAGATGATCACACAAGAAAATTTAGGGAACACCAGCAGAAGGCCGTCAGCAAACAAAAAAGTCACGTCCGCGCCCTTGAAGTCTGCAAAGTCAGCAAAAAAAAGCAACAAGCAGCCACAAAAAAAGAAGAACATAGCAGGCCAGTGCCCAGTCCAGTGACAGACCAGGCCGCATCGCGTGACAGACCAGGCCCATCCGGCGAAGACAGCCATCGCGTGATAAACCAGGGCCCATCCGCCGGTGACCATATACACGTTTACTAGCAGGAGACGACAGCGACAGGCTACCGAAGTGACGTGGACGCACGATGCAGAAATGTTGTGTCTGCAAAAATTCAACGAAAGAATTAGCAATGGATAAAAAAGGTGTCTGCTTGTTCTTACACAAATGGGGACTGTGTGAGCATCGAGGATGTCAGCGACTGGGATGCACCTGAAATACTTAAAGCATTGACGTGCAGTTCTGGCGTCCATTGACAAATTACTATCTGTCCTGCCATGGAATCCCTGATAAACAATAAATTGCTTACATTTGAGGGGAGCTGGAGGGCCAAAAAATATTAATATAATTAATATATAATCTATTAATTATAATAATATATATAATAATATAAATATAATAAATATAATATAATATTATTATAGTATATAATAATAATAATATAATATAATAATAATTATAATATATTAATATAATATAAATATATAATTATGGATTATATAATACATAATTTAATGAGTGTAAAATTATGTACATACATTAAAGTTATACATTTTTCTTGCCGAGATTCTTTTTCCATCATAACTGTCCTGATTACGTGATTAATATGTTAGGGATGATTACTGTTTTTTTCTTACTGAGTATACACTGAAGAAGTTTGTCCCTTCATGTTCGTCAATATTTTGTTCATAAATGTGTTGATGTGATAGTATGATATTATATATGTATACCTAGCTTGTGCATTGTTGTATTTCGTATGGTTATTGTCATAAATTTTCATTATTTGTATTCATAAAAAATTGTTTGTTGCTTGTCAGTTGCGTTTAACCTTGTTATGTGACAGTTTCGTTTCGTTGTCAAACTATTTGTTTCCATTGCGAAATTATATTTTGCCATGGCGGCGCGGAAACTGAGAGTTAGCGGAAATCCGGCTGGCCGATCGCGGCTCATGTGTTGAAGTAAGTCAGGTTGTGGAAAAGCTCACGATATTTTTTTCGTGTCTGCAAAACATGTCACTATCGAAGTACTGTCTATGTACTGAATAAATATTTAGTAGTGTCTGTGGTGTATTACCGGGAGGAGTGAATATATCCTTTAGGGCGAAAACCATAAGGCAGGATATTTAACAGTCACTGTGCACAGTGAGCAAAATGGCGGCGTTAGTGTGTGTGCATTAGAGCATTTACCGAATTGACAGGAAACCTGCGCCAATAATAGGGTGAAAGAGAGTATAGAAACATTCCAAGAATTTTGTAGTTAACTAGTATTAGATTTCGTATTTATTTAGCATTATATTTTATTGAAACGTTTCAAGTGCCTGTGGCCTGGTCGGTTTAGCTGTGCCTGTGGCTGTGCTCAAGCCTCAACGCCGGGGGAGGGTTGCCAATTAGATTTTCCTTAACCCTCACTAGCAAAATAGGATAAATATGCTAAATTGAGCCGTTTAGCCGTGATGATATATTTACCATTACAAAAGTATGGTCCCTTGGCTTGAATAGCTTATAATCAAACAAGCAATATATCTTTACTACGCCGTATGCGCAAAAAGTTCTTCGCTTGTTGCTATGACAAGAGAACAGTTTTCCACTAGCGTCACCTATTGGTTGTAACTGCAAGTAATTAATTCAATGAGTACTAACAATATTTTCATTATGCTGAGATCTTATCTTGGTAAGAGACGTGGTTAAATACTAAATTACTACATTAGCACACATAATGAGTGTTGTGAATAATATTTTGTTTACTTTATGTTTGTTTTTGTTCAGATAGAAATTAGAAGGCACCGGGTTCAGAAGAGAGACGGTCCCAGTCTGATCTGCACGCGTGCCAGTGGAGGCACCCTCGATTACGAACGACGATAGACTGGTACTCGGTCCCCACTCTCGGCTTAGTTACTCGATGGGGGCACCATCGAGTAATCGAGGTGGGAGCGAGTACCAGTCTAGAACTACGAATAACTACGAATTTACGAAAGCGGATGTCCGCTACCTGCACGAAAAATATCGCGACCATATTGTTTACCAAAATTTGTTTTGAAATAGTTTGATTTCATCTTCTAAGTAGCGTTTAAATGCACATATAAAGTGATCATGGCAACAGGAGGCACACTACAGGTAACTAAATAAGTATAAACGTTATCCATATACGTAACTTCTGGCCAGTTACAACGAATAATTACGGGAGCTAGCCGTGGTTAGTCAACTTAGTGACTCACTGACGCTGAGAGGGTCCATGTCATCGGGGTACTGCCGGAACGTACCCTGTGTACGGTCCGGTATACTGGAACGTACCCTGGTACTATCGGTGCAAATCCACTTTAGGCACCTTAGGTATCACGAAGTAATGCACAGATTTCTGTGTATCATCAACTGATGCACAGAATTTCCGTATATCAAGGAATGATGCAAAAACCCTAACCCTAACCCTAACCCTAACCCTAAGCCCAACCCTAACCCTAACCCTAACACACTTCGTGATACCTAAGGAGTAAGGTTATACTTTATGACTTAGGGTTAGGGTTTTTTCATCATTCCTTGATATACGGAAAGTCTGTGCATCAGTTGATGATACACAGAAATCTATGCATCACTTCGTGATACATAAGGTGCCTAAAGTGGATTTGCGCCGTACTATCTAATATGCCGGATCGTACCTTCGTCCTTCGGTTCCGTTACCGAGACGAGGCGTAATGGCGGTGGAGTCGGGCTACGTGCCTGGCTGCCTAACCTCTCGTGGTAACTCAGGCTAAAGTCTCTGATCAAGGGATATTTTATGTGACATCTCATTGGGGGTACTTGTAGGTTTGCTGATGTTGAGTTTGGTTTCAAGGTTGTGGGGTTCTTCGTTGTTTTATACCGGGGTAACGCGTACCCAGGGGTACGTGCCGGGCAGTTCCCGTGGTTGGTGGAGTGATGCAGAGGATCCCTTGTTTGAGCCTCACTGGGGGATGTAGGTCTGAAGGTCTATGTATAGTAATAGGCAAGTAAGGTGATACCGGAAACAACAGATAGGTGGTAAGTTTGGGGGGACAACGCGAGGCGTCCGTGTTGTGGTGTGGTCGAAACCCCCGTGAGGGAATCCACTCAGGGGTGATGGCGGTTTGGTGCTTGGTGGGTTCAGACACAGT